TTTTTTTATAATGCCACAAATATAGTTGAAACGGCTCAACAGATCCGCAGGAAACGGAAACTTTAGAGTGATGCAGGACCTTATGAACTAAGCCTAATGGCATAATGTGAGATTCCGTAAAAAAATAGAACATGAAATATAAAATAATGCGTTAAAGGAGATATTTTTTGTTTCATCCTTATTTTTCTCACTTATAATGATATAAAACCTAAACATTGTTCACATGGGGTAAAACTAGAAAAGTTTACCTTTTTCCGTGGATCTAATATTGTTGAATTTGGATAAAATTCTGACGAATTATGAATTTTTATGCGGAGCACCGGGAATATGGGATAAAAATATGCTCCCGGCTATATGACAATTTGAGACCGCCCGACGTAGCACGTCTAAAACAATAATTTAACTATTTAAATTTTTATTTTTTTTCCTTTTTTTTAAGAGGGTATTTCAACTATGAGGTTATATCAACCTTCGGGGTGCCGATGTTTTTGAAAAAAAAAGCCCATTTGTAAGTATGTCGGGTTCGAATACAGTGCCGCTGGATTCGAACCTGGTACCTTTACCTTGTGATGAGCGCCGTGTCAACGCTTATATCGTTGCGGCCATCGACGCCCCAAAGGTTAAAAATTTCTTAAAAGTTAATATAATTTAAATTAAAGAAAAAAGTTAATATTCTTTTTTTTACAACAAATTTCAAAACCCTCAGAAGAGAAACGTTTGGGAAAATGAAAAAAAAATTTGAAAATGACTCTGATCTTATAAAAACATAAAACTTAATTGTTGACATAGTCTAAAAGTAGAGAGATATCTTTCCAACTTGCTAACACTGTTGGATTTGGACAAAAAAACAGAGGAGTTATGAATTTTTAAGTGGAACAACAATCAAACGGAGAAAAAAAATTTCCCCCCGGCCAATTCGCTATTTGAGACCGAGAAACTTAGATTAAAATATTTTGTTTTTAGTTAGAAACAAAGATATTCGTTTTCTGCAGCCCAAAATTTGTTTCTTAAAAATTTTTCAACCAGAATTTTTTTTTGTGTGTGTGGTGATTAGTGACCGTTAGTCGATGATTATTCAGAAATCGTGAGATGCGATTTGGTGTGATGTAGGTTTCAGAAAAACATTTTCTTTATCGTGCCAACGTTTCGATCTTTATTGAGATCATCTTCAGTGCCTGGGATTTACAAACATTGTTTAAATGTAACAAATACATGTAGAATGTGGAAAAAAGGGAATTTATACAATGCAAAAAATATTTTTTCTATTCAATCAAAGTATTTCTACTCACTCAATATGTTTGTTTCCTGTGTAATTGGAAGAATGGCACAATTACACAGAAAACAAACACTTTGAGTGAGTAGAAATACTTTGATTGAATATAAAAAATATTTTTTGCATTGTATAATTCACTTTTTTCCACATCCGACATGTATTTGTTAAATTTAAACAATGTTTGTAAATCCCAGCCCTGAAGATGATCAATAAAGATAGAAACGTTGGCACGATAAAGGAAATGTTTTTCTGAAACCTACGTCACGTCAGACCGCATCTCTCGATTTCTAGAATTTTTTTTAGAAAATCACAAAAATTGTATTAACTTTAATACGATTCAACAGGTCCACAGGAACTTTTAGACAGGGGTTGACAACACTATAAACTACACGTAAAGGCACAAAATCGACCACCGTAAATAACTAAGGACTGGAAGTATAAAAATAATTTTTTTGAGACGATTTTGTTCATTTCAACCTTGCCTATATTGGCCCTATTCATCCCAAAAATGTTGATTTTTATATTTGCTTTAAAGCTTCGTATTCTAAGGCTTTAAAGGGTGCTTAATACGAACCCAAATTGCTGTTTTTTTGTTGTTTTTTTTTAAATATTTTTTTACATTCTTTACTAGAATCGTCTTTTCGTTTTTGTGACATTTTTTATATATAATCATGTCTAATACGATCCTGCTTATTACTGTCTTATTAGGTATTAAAAAAAAGCAAACGTAATGTAAAATGTGAAATGTAAAAAATAATTATGTAAATTATTTCTAATATTTGTTTTCTCGGCTTCTATGGCCTATTGGCAAGAACGATGTTCTGTGTTTCAACCTAGCATCGAACAAAAAATATCATTGAAATGGGTGATCTTGTAAATAAAATGATTTTTTCTGGTAAACTTCTCTGGACTTCATTACGGAATCAGGAGGACATTTCTGAACTTTTCAGGGCTCAATCCGGAGTTAGACAGGGTTGTCCTCTAAGCCCGATGTTGTTTGTTCTCTTTTCGTATAAAGTAACCTGTACAAATGTAAGAGACAATCGAAATTTCGATGTTGCCGGATGATATTGTGCTACTGACAGTTGGCGTATGTTGACTATAGAAAAATATACATCCTCTGGAAGAAGGAGGATTTAAACAAGTATAACTTATGTTCATTCAAATCGGTGATCCCAGTTACGTAGCCTCTTTATTTTAACGTTTTACTAACATTTATTATTATCCGATTATACAATTTTATATTTTTAAAAATATGGAGTAGAATAAACAGAGTGTATTTAGAACAGTTATTAAACTCATGGGACTTAGTGAATTCTGAACTTTGTAATTTAATTACGAACTTGGTTAAATAATTGTTTTGTAAAGTGGCTAAGTACAATTTCGTTTAATTCATTTAGTCGTGTAATCATTTATAACGTATTTTCTTTTCTATTGATACAGTTTAATCTGAAAATACCAAGGATGATGACGTGAAAAATTGGGTGTATTCATAAGTTTTGAGAGTGATTTAGTGATGGAGTCGCGTCCGGTGTTGTGGAGCTGTTGAGCGCCGTGGACTCTCGAGCAATTGACGGCTGTCGCAGTTCCGTACACTGTGGTTGTAGAAGCAGTTGTGGGTAGGCAGAGCGTAGTACCTCGGGCAGTTGTTTAGCCATGCTAGAAGAATCGAAGAAGACTTGTGTCACCTGGCCAGTTAGTTTTCTTTCGTGAGACTTTTGGGGGTCTTTGGGGTAATGAACCTTTAGTTCGATGTTAACGATCATCAGACCCAGCAAAGATATCAAAAAGCTGAAACCCTTCTGACTCACAAAAACAGCAAAGAAAGTCAGAATGTTCGGAAACGACCAAACTATAGTTTTTCCTGTCTGCGCCTAAGTTAACGGTGTGCAGTTACAAAACTCCGTCCGTAGTGGTTGTGATGCTGTTCAGCGTCGTGGGCTCTTGGGTAGGTGACGGCTGCGATCCACCTAGGCTGTATGCAGTGCGTTGTCGTGAGGCCTTGTGTCTGGTTTTGAGCCTGAAAGAACCACTCTACCACCCCTCCAAATAGTACTGTTGGCAATCACCACCAATTTCCGTAGGTTTCACTAATATTCGATAATGCTTCCGCCATTCAAATGACAGCCAATGAGGATGCAGCACGCCGCTATTTAAACAGAAGCTCAATCGACGACTTTTCACGATCATTATTTTAGTGAACGATGTAGTGACCTTAAAGTGAGAGAGTTGTTTTGGAGCTATTGAACGTCGTGGCGAATTTTGATGAGCTGGATGAATACAGTAGCTGAAAGTGAGCGTAGGTCCTTGGGTAGCAGCCTAATGCTATGAATCAATCTTTTAAGATAATTGCTAATGTCTGATATTACCAACTCATTTAGAGTTGTTGATCTCGTCAACGAGTCTAGTATATGCAGGTTGAGCCCCTGCTTATATAAAGAGCACAATTATTGACAGTCACCACATAGCTACCCCCAATGTGTAAAACTGTCCAAACAGCTGGGCAATCAAAAATAGCGGGTTACCCCCAGGCACTAAAAATGTTTGCAGGAACATTAACCACTTTAGCAACCAGGGTGACGTAGCCCTAAGTTCAGGTGTTTGTGAGCCAGATAAACATGGTTCAATGCTGGTAGTGAGTGTAGATCCTCTGGTAGCTATCGGCCTGGACAGTGGCTGGGGATAGCAGCTCATATAGTTGCTGATCTCGTCGACGAGGCTAATCTAAGAGGTTAAGCCCCTGTACTGATTGTTGAAGTAGTGGTAGAAACTTTATTAACCACAGGCAGTCACCTCACTTTGGAGTAAGCAGCCAACAATAGTTTCATTCAAACAAGTGCACAAGCAACATGGGTTCTCTCAACATCTCACACTCACATTCATGGCATCACACAACAGCTGACTGACGTCCTACACTCTTTACATCAACAAAGGCTTATACAGCCATCAATATGCATTACAAAAGATCACAGCTATACAACATCAGCCCTTATCATTGCAATCAAACGACCCCAACACTAATATTCAATAAGCACAATTTGGGAGAACAAGTTGGTACGAATAATTTAATAAAAATCGATGTAGTATTGAATGTAAACTTGGAGAAAATTGGGTTTAAAATATATCCTTGTCTCACATCTTAACTTGAAAAAAAAATCGTAAATTTTGTTCCAATGCCAATTAGATTGGTTGCAATTTAGTAGACATAGACTTACAAGAAATGCCAAGATTGTCAATAGATGTCTCAGAAAGTCTAATTGTAAGATGCATGACTATTATCAAATGCAATATAATTTGTTAGTGATTTTAGTCTTCTTTTTTTTGAAGTTTATTAAATCCTTTTACTTAATTCCTCACTAGTTATAACTTCTAGTAGTTTTGTTCTGGATGTTTTATCAAATAAAAATTAACTCGTATGTATTTATATTTCCAGTCACCTTAATAATAATAATAGGCGTCGGTGGCTTCAACGGTTTAGGCGTTGACACGGCGCTCATCACTGTAAGGTAAAGGTCCCAGGTTCGAATCCAGCGGCCCTGCATTCGAACCCGATATACTTACAAATGGGCTTTTTTTTCAAAAACACCGGCACCCCGAGGGTTGATATAACCTCTGCTGTTGCAACCCTCGTAAATAATAATAATAATAATAATAATATATAATTTAATCAGACATATTAGCTCAGTATACTGTGTTGTTACAGCTAAATAATGAAAATTATTTTCAGGTGTGGTTCCAAAACCGAAGAGCGAAATGGAAGAAGCGAAAGAAGACTACTAACGTCTTTAGAAGTCCAGGATCATTGCTGCCTTCCCATGGGCTTCCTCCTTTTGGCTCGATGACAGACACCATCTGCCCTTCGGGGATGTTCGGCTCACCGGAGAGCCGATGGGGTGTTCCTTCTGTTGCTTCAGGTACCCGTCAATATACATAATACAATTTTAATACATTCATTTTTTTAAAATCATAATTTGTAAGGAAAAAGTATCTCAATTCACACCAACTTTTCCATGTGTTCATGCAGTGTTATTTTATTTTTTTATTTTTATTTTATTTTATGGTGTTTTTTTTTTGGAGGGGGAGGGTTGTTTGACTTCACATCCCCACTCCAGCAATGTACATCCAGTCACTCTTCTTTTGATTCTTCCACACCCTTGATCCATCTAGGCAGCCCTTCTGGTACATACTCCATGAGGATCTGTGGATTTAATTCGCCATTCTAAGCATGCGGTCAAACCACTTTCTTTAAGGTTTCAGGATTTATACTTGAATTTCTCTTTTGAATACTGCTTCTTTCGACCTTATTAATGATGAAGATGAAATACGATGTGAAGGTCCTCATGCAACTTTCAGCCAAATCAGCTATCAATTGATTTATGAATGCAATCTGTTGAGATGATCCTGTTGCTTGTAGTATGGCCTCTTGCTCCATTAGTGATGAGAACTCAACAAGTCTGAATTAAGCAGGTTGAGCCCCTTCTTAAATTAAATAGAGGTGTTCATAAATCACACAAAACTTAAAGTCAAGCAGTTGGCTGTCTTTTGGAAAGTGGAAGCATTATCAAAGTAGTGGAGATGACGAATGGAAACTCAGTAACCCCTAGTGTATGTACTGAAGAAATTGCAACTGCTTTTTTATATTTACTTTTTTCTCATCATCCTCATAGGTGTACTCTGGTATCTCTGTGTCTTTATGACATACATGCTTATCACAAGCTTGGTCAATTTAGGATGGTGGCCAGTAAAGAGGCATATATAATTATTTTCAATTCCTGCTGTTTTTCTGTAGTTCCCTATGGGTGACATTAAGCTGGATATTTCTAGAAAACATCGTTGGTATGTGGTACCTTGTATAGTCAATTAAGAGAAGAATATAGACTGTTTAGAGGTTGCTTGTTTACATGTTTCAATGCAAGGCCAATTGAAACACGCTCCAGACAGATCATCACAACTCGTCTACAATCTAGTGGCCATGGTGGGTGTCAATGAGCCAGATAATGGTTGTTGGTGGTCAGGTGAGCGATGTGTTCAAGCTATTGAGAAGACCCTGCTTCTTGTGGCTTCAGTTGGCTGGTGCTTCATTAAAGTTGGAGGGATGTGGAAACATTGTCGAACTACATTATTGGTTAAACCTTGTGGATACTTCAGTAAGCTGCAGACCGTCACCATGATGTGCAAAAAAACTTGCACTAAACTTCCTAAAACTTTTTTTTTTAATTTGTCAATATTAAAACAAACAAAACTTAAACTTAATTGAATGAAAGTAAATAATTTAAAAAAATTGAATGTTTAAAGGCTCGTAATTATTAGTTTAATAGACCTAATAAGGTTAATTTGGTAATTACGATCATTTTGCTCTGCCTATCATCACTGGTTTGGGTTTGTCAGACAGACCCAGCACTGAAAACGGGCAAAACGACAAAAAGAGCATGATAGGCAAAAACAACAGCTCCAAATCGGTCCACTTGAGAACATAAATTTGAGTTTAATAAAGCAATTTTTGAAGCAGAAGGTTAGACAGATGATGGTTGCTGTTCAGATTTACTTTTAATTTTTTAAATTGGTCTTTACCGATCATTTTGTTCTGCCAATCCTTGCTGGTTTTATCTTGTCAGACCCAACATTGTAGATGAGCAAGAAGCCGAAAATCACTGAGAAACAAAAAGAGTGGCTCAAAATTGCTCAACTTCAGGACAAAAACAAGAGCTTAATAAAAATTTAAAAATGTTGGATGGTATGTAACATTTTACATGCAGGTTAAGTGAAAATAATTTTAACTGAAACCAGAAAATCAAAAAGGTCTGCCTGGAAAAAAATTATTGTTGCAAATGCATTTTGGACTGTGACACAGGGCTGCTAAGGGCGAGAATCATACTTCAATTTTTGATCTAATTTGTTTTGTTCTTTCGCGAGTCCACCAATAAGTTAGAAACATTTTTTTTCCAGGTTTAAGTCAACTAAGCCAATCAGCTGTGCCGATGGGTGGCTTCAGCCAATTATCATCTCACCAAACATCAATAGGCTCTTCAATTCCCATTTCTACATCGATGGCATCTAACGGTTCTGCTGTATATCAAGCGCATTACGGCATAAATCCCTTAGGTAATGGAGTCATAATTTAATAGTATTTATTACATCATGTATACATAAGTTTATTACAAGTTAATAAATTTTAATTTTTAACAATTGTTATAACAATGTCATAAATTAATTAATTGTAAGTACATTTTCTGTTGAACAGGCACTGGGTCCATCTACATTCCAGGTTTTGATGTCACTCAAACACTCTTCAGCTTTGCGCCATCTTCAGTGAGGGACTCAACATTGACATCAAAACCCGCGAGTGTACACGGACCCAGTTAGTGACCCAGTGCCAGTTCAACATTTGTCCATCACTACAAGCAAGTAATTTTTTTAGTTCAGTAGGTTTCAAATCTGAAATCTAAAGATTATAACAGTCCAGCCTCAGAGCACGATGATGATTCAGGTCATCTGGTTGAAAAATAAAATTGACAGTTGAAGAGTTGAAGTATTTTGTTGCATATTTTCTTTTAATATTTAATATAATATATTCCTTCATTTATTTTAAGTTTTAACTAGCCATAAAAGCTCATTTATCACACCCCTCCATTATGTTTAACTGTTGGTCTTAATTTTTTTGTTTTTTTTTTGTTTCTGTAGCTTTTGTTACAAAGTTTAGAAGTACATACACCTATGTTACATAACAAAAGGCAAACTCCTTCAAGACAATACAATAATAATAATAAATAAAAAATTACGAAACCAAAATAAACTGATATAACATGTACTAAACAGGCTTTATGAATTGGATCTTGGATGTTCATAGCTTGACTGGGAAAATAGAAGTGGAAAAAGAAGAAAAATGCAGATGAAGAAACCAAAACAAAAACACAAGAATGTGGGTTAGAGCGCAACAAACATCGGTTGCCAGGCATGAGGCAAGCAAACAGACTACTCACAAAAACAACCCAATGTGAGAGAGTCCTACTCAACAGAAAAGAACTAAAACCCCTAACAGGTTTATTTACAGGGCATGCTCCAAAAAATACTACTTTTACTCTACTACCTAGGAAAGCATTTTTGAACAATGAAGAAATTAAAGAAAAATCAAAAGTAGAATTTGAACACAATATAGAAAAGGTTAAATTCAAAAGGGAGAAATCCCTATTATTCCTACAAGGAAAAATAATAATTAATAGAATTATGCAGAAATGTAGGAAGAACCAAGATTAGGTTGCATTTAGGAATGAACAGGCTTCTATGAAACACAGCCACAAAGCCAAACAATTAAAACTAACTGGGCATCCAGGACAGAAGTGTAACAAGAGGCTGATTCCAACAGCAATCCCTTTGTAAGAGTCAGTAAAAAAAAATCATGCAATATGAATAGCTCTTGAGAGTGCCAACAGACTCCTGAGACCAGACCAGAGGACCTGTCACAAAATCATATAGAGAATTAAAATAATGAAATTGCTATAATGGTACCTGACAAAATGATAGAACAACTCAACTTTTACACACTGTCTCAAGTGGTCAGAGAAGGCAGAGATCTTTGGAAGAAAGGCAACCTCAAATTTGAGAAATGAATCAAAATCAGAACAGGGAGTAGCTGAAGGATCAGCAGAATTACACCCTAGTAAAACCTCTTGAACTGGAACCACCTATCTTCCAAGCTGAGGTCGATGCAATCCAACTATTTGCATAGCTGATAAAGAAGAAATAAAAGGTGCACACAGATCGTCATACTTTAAGACAGTTAAGCAGCTATAAAAGTACTGAAACATGCTTTTAGCTCCAAACTATTCTGGGAATACCTGGCCCTAGGAAAACATTTACCTTGAGGTGGGTTTTGAGACATAAAGATATAGAAGGAAATAAACAAGCCACATAGCCAAAGAATGGGCAGCTCTTTCACCCATGGGACCAGAATCACAACTAGGCAGACCAGAGAGTTAAAGCTGGATCTAAAAAATTGGCTTGGGAAAGAAAAGCTCAAATATTTTGGAGAAAGGTTCTGAGACATGAGGGTATAAAAGAAAACAAACTGGCTGACCATCCAGCCAAAGAACAGGCAGCCCTCTCACCCATACCACCTAAAGACGTTCAAGAGAAACCAGAAAACGACATAAAAGATTGTGGAATTGACCCTTCTTTATTTCCAAACCTTGAAAAGTGCACTACTCTTCAAGTAGTTTAGTACTTTCCAGAGTTCCTCTTTGCTTATTTCTTTAGCCGTTAATATTGCCTTTCCAATGAGACTAATGCTCTGCAGTCACATTAATTTTCATGTTTCTGCACATTTTTATGTTACATACATTTTTTTATGTTAAAATTGAATAGGCAATGACCAGTATAAAATCCCATTATTTTCCTTCATTCCTTTTTTTTTTTTTAATGGATACCAGTGACTGGAGGAGTTCCCTCCTGAGCACTGCAGCCGAGCTGTACTGCTTATTGTACTTTATCCCTGGCTCCATATTTTTTTTTTTGGGGGGGGAGCTCGCAACACAAATGTGAACTTGATCCCCCGTTGTACCGGTGTTCTTCCATCGAAGAAACTCATTTTTGAAGGGGGTTGGGACCAAATTCAGGGTTGCTGAGATCCGATTCCGCCCCTTCCATTGATGAGTGCTGTGTCAATTTCTTTCAATTGCTGCCACCAGTCCCCTTAGGCGTCAGAAAAAGTCCAGAGGCGATGGTGAGGATAGAACCCACATCCGCGGGATCTACTAGCCGAGAGTCTGACGCCTTAACCACTCGGCTACCACGGCCCCCCTCATTCCTTCCTACTGAAGAAAGGTAGATTTTTGTTATCCTGGTCGAGGAACTTATTCCACGGATGGGATGGATCTCATCTTGAAAAGTTGATTGAGTCCAGCCTGGAAGTTTTCTGGGATCAAATTTCGGCCCGTTGGCTCCCTACCTCATCTCCATGTTACATTGTATGTAAATACATCGTTATAGCAAAATAAGGCCCTTCTATTAAATTTTGGATTTTTATTTTTCCAAACCTGTATTGTTTTTTATTTGGAAGGGTCTGTCAAAAATATTATATATTTGTGCTAATATCCAACATTGGGATATTACTATTGAAAGGTTTTTTTCTATTACATTAGTCTATTTTGCATGCAGTCAAATTACATTATTACAACTATTTTCTGTCAAATAATTCAAAATTAATTTCAAATTAACCCTTTATAACTTTAAATTAACCCTTCTTTACTTCAAATTAAAAAAATTTAACTTCAAACTAACCCTTTTTAATTTCAAATTTATCCTTTCTTTCAAATATTAAAAAAACTCAACAGAGGGTATGAAATATAACCTTGTAAAACAAAATTCCTTTATAATTCCGAGTTTTAAAAAATATAAAACAATTGGGATCTGAGAATACCATATTAACATTATTTACAATTGAAATTAAAAATGATATGATATTAAATATAAAACAAAATAGATTCTTCAAGAATTTTTAATTATGAAAAATTAAATTACTGATTTATATAAGCTCAAATGTGCACATGCATGTACAGAGTTGAGCCTATCACTTCTCGCAGTCCACCGGCAATTTCAGCTTTTATGATTTACAATCACTGGCATTTTTTCATATAATTTTTAATTTTACTTGTAATTAGTTTTCAGAGTCCAAAAACATTCACAAATATACGGGGATTTTACTTTACGTGCTTATAATTCATACCATCTCTTAAATTTTGTAACGCTTTAAAGAAAGGGTTAATTTGAAAATGAAAAGTGTTATTTTAAGTTAAAAAAAGGTTAATTTTGTCTTAAATGGGGTTAATTTGAAATTAAAAATGGTTAATTTGAAGTTAAAAAGGGTTATTTTTAAGTTATAAAATGGATAATTTGAACTAAATGATGTTAATTTTAAATTAAAAATGGTTAATTTGAAGTTAAAAAGGGTTATTTTTAAGTTATAAAATGGATAATTTGAACTAAATGAGGTTAATTTTAAATTAAAAATGGTTAATTTGAAGTTAAAAAGATTATTTTAAGTTATAAAATAAATAATTTGAACTAAATAAGGTTAAGCTGAAATTAAAAAGGATTATTTTAATTTAAAAAAAGTTTAATTTGACAGAAAAAAGCTGTACATATTTATATATACAGGAGTACTAAATTTGTATTTTTATTCATAATTTAGTGTAAATATTATTTGTTTGTGTAAAACAAATAACTAAACAACAAAATTATATTGGTCTTGAACACCAGCCTAAATGAGGTTTTTTTTATCTGTTCTGAAATTTGAGAGTTGTGAAAAATTTTCATATGTATAACTGCCGTTAAATTTGTAATTTTGTTTGTTCCAGATCCAGTATTTTATGGACACGAAGCTAGTGCAGGTGAAAATTTAAATTAGTTGAAAGAAAGAAAAACAAATGTTTCATCCTGACTTCATAAAAGGCTAGCAATATTTACCAAAACCTGCTGGCAACGTATAGAAATATTTTGTGATACATTTCTAGTGGATTAACAGAAATGTATTTTATTTATAAAAATTTAAGGCAAAATCATCAGTTTTACTTTTCAAAATGGACAATATAAAAGTAAAAAATAGGCATTTATGAACAAACAGAAAAAAAAGTTGACGAAACAACCACTTAAAAATAAAATAAATAATATACAAATGTATTAAAAGGCAACTTTGTTATAGAACATTCATAGATTAGGGAGCAGTATATGTGTTAATTTTCATGATGAAAATATGAATCATCTAAGTACAAGCGTACACTAAAATAAAAATAAAATTTTTAAAAAAAGTCGTTTAAAAGTGAAAATTGTAAATATTATATTAGTAATAAGACTGTAACATATTATGCATTATTGAAAAGTGGTTTAATTGTTTTGTATGTGATGTGAGAAAAATAATAAAAACTACATGTTTATACAAAAAATAAATTAAAAAAATAATATACTCTACATATTTTAAAATTAATATATTTCGGAGTGTCTTGTGTCCACAATATTTACATTTTTACTGTTATATCATAAATGTGGTTAAAATCCTATTCAATATATGGATTGGCATATAAAATAATACAGTTTTGTTGCCCCGTAGGATACATCGTTAAACGTACTATGTAAAAAATTCCAATTATATTAAACAAATTAGCTGTTAATAGACGTTAAAAGTGGACATTGCCAATAAAATGTTCTGGCCCTTGTAATTAAACATTGATATTTAATTTTTATATGTATTACTTTTACATTAAAAATACAACCATGTAAAGCACATTTTGAAGTTTAAATATAAATCATATTAAGCATAATGTTGTCTTCATTGTTTTTTATATGATGATTATTATTTATAACTTAGAAACTGTATCTATGTCAGAAATTTTATTTGAAAATGAAGTAAATTAAATTATTTATTGATAGCGGAGGAAAAAATACAACACTGTGTTCATGTTATTGTACTTTTACAAGTGTTAATTTTTTTTTTTACTTTCCTTTAAGGCCAGTTAGCTTTCCTTAAAGTAAAGTTTAAAAAAAAAGTGTTTTAAGAACTAAGATATGCCTGAGAATAGGACACTGTAGTCTTACCAATGCATTCTCCATGACAATGCAGCCTCCTCCAGATTCCAAAAGCTACCAAGAACTACAGTCAAGAGTGTTTTCAATTATAGAAGGAGAGAGGACATACACTCAGTACATCTGGCAGTCTTGGTGAAAATAGTACAAGATAGTCACAGAATAGTGAACTTTCATTTTCCTAAGAGACTTATTTAAAACGTAGAAAGCTAGGAAAACTCAAGTAATGTTCAAATCCCAGACAAATCTTGTCATCTACATCATTTTGCTTATGTAAATTGGTTAACAATTATGTTGGAATGCCAGATGTCCCCTCATAGACTGGCTTGCCTGGATCTCTATTTTATGATTTACATAAAATCAAGTGTCATTCGTGAAACGGTGGAATGGTTAATCTTGGGGCCAGTGGTATGATAAAATCTGTAATTTGATTGTTACTACTAATTTTAGCGTACCTATCATTCCTTTGTTTGTCTAGCAGATGCGTTTCAGCTCCTCCCTATCTTCAGTGTTGTATCTGTACGATTTATGTAAAATCAGATGTCTATAATACAGTCGTGAATGGTGAAATGATTGATTTTGGGGGCGGTGGAGAGATGAACAATAATAATTTAGTCATTACCGATCATTTTGGTCTGCCTATCCTAGCTGTGTTGGCCAGTCAGACGTTTTGCCAAGTCAAACTGAATGAAAACTCGTGAGTTGCATAAATTTTCCTTAATTTTATGAGGTTAATTTTTCTCCTTCTTCAGACTGAACACTGAAGATGGCATAATGCTGAAATACATCTGAAAGACCAAACCAGTAACGATAAGGAGACCAAAATGATCTGTGACAACCCAATTATATTTTTTCAGATTTTTTTTTTCAAGTACAAGCGTATAATAATGAAAGATTGACCATGTAGTTAGGCTTTTGTTTCAGCTTTGCTGCAGTTGACACAAGGGTAGATGAAGATGTACATCTGTTGTCAAGGTGTACATTATACTGTGCTGTTTAAGAGCTATTGTATCCCCCATCCACCATAATATAAACATGTTCCATAGCCATGCTCTGTACTTATAGCAACGGTGAGTCCTAGTTAATCAAGGAACTTGATTAGTATGCCAAGTTTCAGTGGTTTACTCAGTGTTGTGTTGGTTCCTCTGCCACTTTGCAGAATCTACACTTGATGTCGTTTTATTATTTTTTTATTTATTACATAAAAAGTGGGAAAAGGTTAAAAAACACTCATTTAGCCAGGAGATTTATAAAATAGATTTTGAGGAGCCAAGTAAGTTAATAAATAAATAAAGATTATGTACATTTACAGACCCATTGATAGGAATATCACAGCACTTAATGGAGTATCCCAAAATGTCATAAAAATCACTGTTCAGTCTCGAAGCAGAATGTTCTTTACAGTGCTTCCAGCGCTTAAGGTCATAGGCCCTTATTACTCTGCATATGGCATTCCTGCTGGCAGCACATCTGCTGAAGAAGTGTAGGGTTCTTGACTTCACCAACTTATTTTGAAGCACTTGTTATATATATTATGCAGAGTGGGCGACCAAGACCCGAGGGGTTAAATGCCTGGGTAGACTCATACCCCGTCCCTAAAAGGTCCGGGACTTGGTCGGCTCACGTGTCCTGCATAAACCTCTTGCACTTGTTCACAAACCCCAAGATTTTGGACCATTGTATCTCGGGGAGTGATTTGGCGATGTCCTCTCCTTCAAAGATTTCAACTCTAGACCTAGCATACCTATCACATTCTGCGAGGTAGTGCTTTGCCGTTTCCTCTTTTATTTCGCAGAAGCGGCAAAAGGGCTTTATGTGCAGGTATCCAAATAAGAGTTACCTTGTTCTCAAACCTGAAAGAGATCCTATTGATAAGATCTATAGTTTCCTCTACCAGTCGTGAGGTTGACAAATCTTTTTGTAATGCTCTAAGACTAGCCTGACTGTCAGAAAAGATTTTAATATCTTTTCCCATAATTTTATTTTCCATCAGTGTTCTACAACACACATTGATGGCCAAGATTTCCGCCTGAAAAACGGAGGTGTTATTGCCAAGATGGGAGGAGATGCTGATTCCTAATTTTGGTATGTAAATTCCTGCACCACTCCCTCTACCTTTGATAAGTGATCCATCTGTGTAGCAGTCTATGTTACGATGGCCATCATCCAGACTATAATAATAATCACAAGAGGTGACTACCTGAAAGTGCTTTTTCCCCGAAGGGGTTTTAATCTTTTTATCACTAACGCTTAATAATTGACCGTTAACCTTACTCAATAGTTGAGAGCTTTTCAAGTGACCTATGTTATTGCACTTATGATTCCAGCTGCCCTCGCTAATTAGTCTGTAGCAGCTGATTAGTGCTCTGACCTTATGGAACACTTGTTGGGTTTGTCTGGGAAGTGATGCTCCAAGTAGGGCATGCGTTCAGAAGCAAGGGCTTAACAGTACTGTTGTAGAGGAGCTTTTTGTTAAAAGCACTCATCATGGAGTCCCATGATAGTAGAGGAAAGGGCAGTCTGTTAGCAGTTTTTCCAAGATAATATCTATCTGTCACATGCCTGGTGAACAGCAGGCTGCTATCCAGTGTTAAGCCCAGATATCCAGATATTTTACATAGCCTGACCAGGGAATGCAATTTCCTGCTGCCACAACATGGTCAATTACTGCAGATCTTCTTTTGGTGAAGAAGATGGCTTCTGTTTTGGCGGAGTTAATTTTAAGTTTCCATCTTTGGCAATACGAGCGATTTTTCTATTTCAGTGCTGTCTTATTTCTGTGCTCGGCCTCCATGAAGAAGTTAGTAAGGCAAGGCCACCAGTAGAGAACCATCCTGCAGGTCTTGGGCATAGATAGGGTATGGACATACAGGCTAAACAGAATAGGGCCCAGGATGGAGACTTGGGGACTCCAGCCATGATTTTATAAGGAGCTGAGAGGGCCTTATTGTCCAATACTCTAAACATTTTGTTTTTTAGGTATATGAGTCTTATTTGATAACATGGGGTTATATTGCATGAGCCTGTATACTACTCCCCCATGCTAGACTGTATCAAAAGCCTTTTTGAGGTCTAGCAGGGGCATCCCAGTGTGCATCTTTTTGTTGAAGCCATTCGTTCTATCTACTACTCGAGTAAGCTAGCTACTTTTTATCCTTTTCATTTTTTCTACCTTTTATGAAAAAACGAAACTACAATAAAAAAATTAACATTTTTTTATTACTTAAATAACTTAAAATATTTTGATTTTGTGAATTTCCAAAAAACATTTTGGAATATATAGCCGGCCTTGCCATTGCACCCCATGCAGTAAATGTTTATGTTCCTTCTTATAACACAGCAATGAAATGTTTTATCACCTCTTCCTTGGTTCCATTTATCAAGGATTGACAGAAAATGAGGTCAGGACACATAAGGACTAGGAACCACAGAGGTGAACTATCATCGCCAAACGAAAGTTGTACAGAATGGCATGGTGAGAACCTTTGGAAAAACGACGGTTTAAGAAGTGAGAATTCAACATTATTTCAATGATGCAAAAACTTAATTTCTTGTACCATTGCAACGTTTTTCATGTTAGACTATAATAAGAGAGGTCTAATTAATCAATTCCTCTTGTATGGTACGGTACTTATTTATAAATATTTATATAAATAATATAAGTATTTATAAACGATAAATATTTAGGGTTGAAAAGAGAAATCACAACACTTTGCTTTTTTTTACATTACATTTTATTTTAGGGTAATAATTTTCCTCTCTTGCTAATTTCCCTACTGATCAGCAAGATGGCAACATCATCTAAATAAAAAAAAGACAAATGCCTGAACACCTCTCATGGACTTATTATATTCTACCACAACCTGCGGTTTGCGTGTAGGATTGCCATGTCTACTGCGAAGCTCTTCCATCTTACCTGAAAATTCAGTTGATATGGTAAGAACATCTCTCTTGCCCTTCCATTTGGTGACATTGATTCCCTCTGGTGACTACCACTGGATAGACTCACCAGTTTTTAGTTTCATGGAAACGTCACGTTGGGAGTGTTTTTTATTGACATATAAAATCCCAGAGAAGGACTTCTGGTCCAAAAGAGCAGCTGCCAACACTTATAATTGTCCATAAAAGTAGACCTTCACCCATAAAATCGGACCTAGGTTTATAGACAACTTTTATAACGTGTTGTGTGCTCATGTCAGGATCAGCAGCACCTTCATACAGTAAAACACAATGAGCCAATCCAAGGTTCAATAAATACAATTTGAGACCATAGTTATGGCTTTTTAATGGCATGTATTCACGAAACGAATCTCTGTAAACAACCTTCCCGGGTCCAATTATTTCAGCTGTCTTGCAGAAATAATCCAACAGGGGTCGAATTTTATAAGACGATCAATGAACCATAATTGTTGGTGGGCTTGCCTGTAAGAAGAATAGTGGCAAAGGAACAGAAATAAGCACTAAACACATTTAAGTACATTTATAAAAAAAGGCTTTTAATTTAAAATTAAGAAACAATAAAAACATATTTCATGACTACACTGTTCCTGTATCCTGTACTTCTGCGGATGGTGTCGGCTTTATTTCCTTTAGACTTATAAAACAAATTTGTGGTTATCATTGTAGAATGATTTTAGATATAATGCCATTTGGCTGGTGTTATGTAAACTAGTCCAAAATTAATTAAACTTATTAATAAGTTCAGTAACTCCAGAGGTGACAATAGAAAAAATTAAATTACTTAACGCGACTAGAGACTGACGTTTTTTACATTCATCCACCATGGTTATGGTCTGAATTATGCCTGAGGCCATGGGCCTACGAACTGGTTCACACATTCCAAAGGCGACGACGAAAAGAATTGAATCTGATAGTCTGATACTAACCAAGAGACTGACAACTTTTACACTCATCCACCCCTGATGGTTGGTTCCATTTAATTTAAAATTGTGTTGAATATCCCCAAGCATTTTCATGTGTAGATAACTTTGGGCATTCATTCTGTGAGTGAAATTATTTCAGTTTAGACTTCTGTATTATAGCTCTGCTGTAGGTGTATCCTTTGTCATCTGCTCATTTTTCTTTGTTCCTCATTGCTTATAAAACGAATTGGAGGTTATCTGAGGTGAATGATTTTAAATACAAAGCCGATGGAGAATTTCATATGGAATTTGTTTGCTTGTCCATTGATTACATGAAATATGGTCGATGGTAGAATCTAGGGGAAAACTAGGAATCAAATGAGCCAGAGGCCATACCCACACGTCCACCACAGCCTCTGATGGTTCCATATCATTCAGAATCGTGTTGTACATCCCCGTACATTTTCTCCAGCAGATCTAAATCCACTCTGTCAGTAAATGTGTTTCGGTTTCCTTTGCCTCTTTGCAAATGGTATGTAGCATCTGTTGTACGTAGTACCTCTGCAGTCTTCTATCTTTGTTTTGAACCTATGACCTATGACCCAAGAGAAGGACACCTTGTACACTCATTTCTATCTTTGTTTTGAACCTATGACCTATGACCCAAGAGAAGGACACCTTGTACACTCATCCACCCCTGATGGTTGGTTCCATTTTCATCCAGAATCGTGTTGTAGATATCCAAGCAGTTTCTCCTGCACTTAATTTTGGGCACACATTCTGTGAGCAAATCTGTTTCAGTTTAGTCTGCTGTACGTTTCTCCATTATATCCTTTAGGCTTATAAAACGAGTTTGAGGTTATCATTGTTGAAAGCTTTTACATATAACACCAATGCAGAATGCCTTATGAAGCTCGTTTTCTTTTCCACTGATTATATCAAATATTGTCAACCATAGAATATTTTCATCTGCCCGTTCCATTAGGATGATGTCATGTAAACTAAAATATAAATTAATTTAACGTATTAATACGTTAAGTAATTCCAGAGGTGACGGTGGAAATTGAACTTACATGACGAGACTAGACACTGACTCCTTTTACATTCATCCACCATGGTTATAGTCTGAATAATGCCTGAGGTAATACATCTACGAATTGGTTCACACATTCGAAGGGCGATGACGAAAAAAATTGAATCTGGTAGTCTGATACAAACCAAGAGACTGGCAACTTTTACACCCTTTACAGGGGTGGCCCTGATGGTTGGTTCCATTTCATTTAAAATTGTGTTGAACATCCCCAAGCATTTTCATATGTAGATAACTTTGGGCATACATTCTGTGAGTGAAATTATTTCAGTTTAGACTCCTGTATTAAAGCTCTGGCGTAGGAGTATCCTTTGTCATCTGCTAACTTTTCTTTGTTCCTCATTGCTTATAAAACGAATCTTATCTGAGGTTCTGAGGTGAATGATTTTAAACACAAAGCCGATGGAGAATTTCATATGGAATTTGTTTGCTTTTCCATTGATTACATGAAATATGGTCGATGGTAGAATATTCATTCTTATCTGTTCCACTGGGATGATGCCCATTAAAATAAAATAAATGTAAAGTATTTATAACATTCAATGAATCTAGGGGAAAACTGTAGTAATCAAATGAGCCAGAGGCCATAACCACTCGTCCACCACAGCCTCTGATGGTTCCATATCATTCAGAATCGTGTTGTACATCCCCGTACATTTTCTCCAGCAGATCTAAATCCACTCTGTCAGTAAATGTGTTTCGGTTTCCTTTGCCTCTTTGCAAATTGTATGTAGTATCTGTGCACTGTACCTCTGCTGTCGTCTATACTTTTGTTTTCTCTTTATGGATAATGCTGATGAAAGGATTTCTGGTTGTCTATACGAAATGATTATAAATAACCTACAAAACCAACAAAATCTTTCTCTTCTTAGTCTGATATGACCCAAGAGATGGACACCTTGTACACTCATCCACCCCTGATGGTTGGTTCCATTTTCTTTGGAAAGAGATAACTTGTTGTCACCAAATGTGTTTCTGTTTTGTCTGCTGTAGGTGTAGAGATAACATTTCATCCAGAATTCTGTTGTATTTCTCCAAACATTTTCTCAAGCAGATGATGTCCATACTCTAACCTTTTTGTTAGTTTCTTCTGCCTCTTCGCAAAGCCTACAACTTGTGTAAACACCAATCCTTTCGATGTCCATTCCGGCTGAGGATTACCATTTTGGGTAATGATTTGTTCCTGTGGAAGCCCATAATGTACCACTGCAAATTTAAAAAAAAAAAATAACAATAATACTACAAGATATTGATACTAATAGTGCTTCTGTCAAAAATCACAAAAGGCCTTTCTTAAAGTTGTAATTGAAATTTTTTAATAGAAATTAAAAAGTATTAATGACTTTGAAACTAATGAATCAAAAACATACCAACAAAATGATTCGTTTCTATAAAAACATCTCTTTTTTTCCCCTGCATCCTATAAATTTATGATGCAATAATGTAATATAATGAAAGATATTGAAACTAGCCAAGATATTGCTGTTTTCAGAAGCGATATATCTTCTTTTAGAGAGGAAAACGCCTTTCTTGAGGTTGTTAAAAGTTTAGAATGTAAAAATTTATTTCTTACCGCTATAAGTTATATTTGAAAAGTGTAGATCATTCTTCTGGTAGAGTCAAGAAGGGCTTAGTGAGGGACTGCTTAAAATGAAACTTCATGGCTGCTTTTCAGCTGGAATCATTAGTTTTTACGTTATGAAGGTTCCTCGTTCACTCTTCCTGAGATCATCTACCAATCTAGCAAGAAAAAAAAGTACTATAAATTCTTGATGTAACATCACTGGAGTTGTCAGCAGACAAAAACTCTAGTGAAAATATTGTAATCAATTATTTTGGATACATCAATCCTTCATCTTCTACACATACAAACTAATAAATAATTGAAGGCCGATGGGATTTCACACACTTTGTGCTAATAAATACACTCAAATTGTGAAATTTGGCTGTCTGGTCTGCAGGGTAAACTTGTAATTTGGTTACCAATTATCCTAGTCTGCCTATTCTCGCTATGTTGGTACAGACCGAAATATATTTCGTTATCTTCAGTGGTGGATTCTTTTCTTATTGTTCAGTCCCAACACTGAAGCTGGCATAAATCTGAAACTCACCAGCACAACATACTGAGTATTGGTAGACATGATCAGTAACAACCAAATAGCTTATACAAAAGCAGAAATTAAAAGATGAAAAATGTACTAAAGAACCATTTTGTTTCTAGGTCTTGTATATGTCTAAGAAAATAAATTATGATGTATGTAAGGAAATATATCGATGTACTTAGGATGTATCTAAGGAAATATTCTTGCAGTTCAACACAAACAAGTGAGAGACAAAATAGAGTTTTACCTTCTTCAGACATTGAAGATGGCAAAATGCTGAAACTTGTCAGACAACAGGGTTATCAAAAACAAATTACAAATGTATAGAAGAGCTACCCTCTTTCCTCCAAACATTAAAACAAAATCCAGCCTCGCTATGCCCAACTCTAATTCTAATACAATTAATTAAGGCCGCTGCTCTACCACTTGAGCTATCGTGACCTCGATCCACTCGGACATCAACTTCCCATCTCAACCGCACCTTTTGAATTTTCCCTCCTTTTTGCCATTTTTCAAATGTCGTGTAATCGGATTGGATTCTCGACGACAAATGAAATGGCCACGGAGAGCTTTAGTGAAGTATACTTCATTTCAAATCATTAAATTCACTAATTTCGTGGTCCGCTTGACCAATTAATGTATTAAAATTAATTAAGGTTTTTAGTTGAGATAGAAAAGTCAATGGCACAAGCAGGATTCGAACCCACGATCTTCGGCTTGATACGCCGCTGCACTACCACTTGAGCTATCGTGACCTCGATCCACTCAGACACTAACTTCCCATCTCAACCGCACCTCTTGAATTTTCCCACCTTTTTGCCATTTTGTAAAACATTAATTGGTCAAGCGGACCACGAAATTAGCGAATTTAATTATTTGAAATGAAGTATACTTCACTAAAGCTCTCCGTGGCCATTTCATTTGTCGTCGAGAATCCAATCCAATTACACGACATTTGAAAAATGGCAAAAAGGAGGGAAAATTCAAGAGGTGCGGTTGAGATGGGAAGTTGGTGTCTGAGTGGATCGAGGTCACGATAGCTCAAGTGGTAGAGCAGCTGCGTATCTGGCCGAAGATCGTGGGTTCGAATCCCGCTCGTGCCATTGACTTTTTTATCTCAACTAAAAACCTTAATTAATTGTAATACATTAATTGGTCAAGCGGACCACGAAATTAGTGAATCTAATTCTAATTGCCAATATAATCAAGTCATAAGTGTTGAGATTATTTGAGTGATGAGATAGGAAGTATTTTTAAGCTGGAGAATTTAATATGGACAATGTAGTTGATAATGTTTAATTTGTAGTTGAAAATAACACCATGTATTTTGTAAAAGTTTTAGAAGAGAAAGAGAGAGAGCAGTATTATTAATTAAAGTAACTGAAGTTATGAGAAGTTTTAGTCATAGAAGCTCATAGAATATTTGCCATTATTAAAAAACAAGTGGTTCTCTAAAGACCAATGGTGTAGAGCATTCAAGTCAGATTGAACAAGTAAGCTGTCATATACAGATTTTTTTTAAAATTAACCCGTTTTAACTTCAAATTAAACATTTTTTAACTTTCAAATTAACCCTTTTTAATTTTAACGTAAATTTTTTTTAACTTCAAATTAATTTTTAATTTCGAATTGACCTTTCTTTAAAGCATTTCATAAACTTAGGACATGGAATGAAATATGAGTGTGCAAAGTAAAATTCCTGTATATGTGATTTTTTTTTTAAATAATTGGCTATAAGACCTTATGCAAATTACTTAAAATTAAAACGATATCTGAATAACTTAAAATTAAAAATTTAAATTATAGAAAATTAAATATAAAAATAAAGGATTCTTCTTTTAATTAGAAAATTTTAAAAATATGTGTTCTCTCTAAAATACTGCACGAAAATTAATTACAATTAACATTGAAAGTAATACAAAATTAAATATGAAAACATCATTCAATAAAAGAATAATGTTTTTAAATTTAATTTAATTTACCATTTAATTTTAGTTGTAATGCCTTAAATTCATTAATTTCGTGGTCCGCTTGACCAATTAATATATTACAATTAATTAAGGTTTTTAGTTGAGATAAAAAAAGTCAATGGCTTGAGCGGGATTCGAACCCACGATCTTCGGCTTGAAACGCCGCTGCTCTACCACTTCAGCTATCGTGACCTCGATCCACTCGGACACCACCTCCTATCTCAACCACAATTGTTGTAATTAATTTTCATGTGGTATTTTAGATAAGAGCCATTATATTTTTTTAAAATTTTCTAATGAAAAAAAAATCCTTTAATGATAAATTTAATTTTATATAATTTTTAAGATTAATTGTAATTAATTTTCATATTGTCTTCTATATGCCCAATTAGTTTAGATTTAACCAAAAATCGCAAAGGAAGTAATTATTACTTTACATGTTTATACTTCTTCATACCATCTCCTAAGTTGTTTTTTTTTTTTTTTTTTTGAAATCGTGAGATGCGGTCAGGTCTGGTCCAGACCGCATCTCATTATTTCTAAATAAATATCGATTAACTGTCACTAATCACCACCCATCTCCTAAGTTTTTTATTGCTTTAAAGAAATGGTTAATTTGAAGTTAGAAAGGTAAATTTAACAAAAAACTACATAGATGTAATAAACATGAAATATTTTAAATCATAAGCAAAGAGAAGAAGTCGAGTATTTTAGAATGGGAGGAAAATCATTGATGAAAATAATGAATAAGATTGGAATGAGATGAGCTCCTTGTGGAATATCAGAGGAAACCTTTGTTCTGGTAACTTCCTACTAGAACCATTTGATCACGGTTAGTTAAATAAACTAGGGATCCAGGACAAAAAATTGTCCAAATATCTCCCTCGACAGATTTAAGTTTGATCTATAACAGATCTGATGTTACTATATAATGAGCTAATGAGAGAAAAAAGAAAGCAGGGTTTTTTAATCAAATACACTCAAAGAGGATAAAAAACAGTGAACAATGTCTATTTCGTCTCTTTATCATGTCTATGGGATTCATGTCACGATAGCTTACTGGCCAATTCATTGCGGTAATCCCTACCTCTCCAAATAATGGGTCGAGCATCATCAGAATTTGTTCCCAATAAATGTAGAAAATTCACAGCTTCCAGAAGAACTTCCTCAGTGTACCTTAGTGCGGTCATAGATATATTCTGTATGACAGTCAATTCAGGGAAGGCATGGACGTTGATTCCTCCCCATATCCCATAATAACTGACTTTAAAATGGGTGACTAATGCATGGCATATGAAGCAAAGAGTTCTCCACATCTCCACACATGGTGCCAGTTATTGCCACAAACCAAACCGGCACTCATCTGTGAAGAGAACAGCCCTCCCCTTGTTCCAGTGTCCAGGATAGATGGTGATGTTCCTTTCTACTCGTTAGCTCTTCAATAGTAGAGAACTTGATGTGGGACGTCTAGAGACTAGGCAATTCTGAGATAATGAGAGTGCGGTAATAGCAATAAAATGGTCATCTCTAGCTGTCATACTACCTTCTCTTTGTTCGAGAAGTTTGATGGCCCTTAACTGCTGTAAACCATTGTATATGATAAGAGCACGGCCCACCCAGGACTTGGGCTAGGTAACAGACATTGGTTGCCGAAGCATCCGCCCGATTGAGATCTTCTCGACTTAAAATTTTTTAAGAAAAAAAATATTCTTTTTTAGGGAGGGGGCACTCTCAACATGACACACAGTAGTGACACATCTACACAGAAAACGAACACTTTGAGCTCTAAAGATGATCTCAATAAAAATCAGAACGTTGGCACAATAAAGAAAATGTTTTTCTAAACCTACGTCACACCAGACCGCATCTCACAATCTCCAAATAATTATTAATTTTTTTACCCACATTTATTGTTTCATCTAAGAAAACAATTAAAAATAAAAAAATAACTCACTCGAAGTTGACTCTGGAAAGGATCAAATTAAACTGATTTTCTTTACTTTTAATGTAAAGATTGTAAAAGGATTAGTAACACTATAAATTAAACAAGTTAGTAACGTTGTGTTTACTTTTTAAGTCAACAATTAATCTTTATACCGAGTTATTGTGGAAAATAACCATTCTGATTTTTTTGTCTTTGAGTGTATATAAAAAAATATTGGTCATAAATCTCAAAAATAAATATTTCAAGGGCTATATTAGCAACAATCATGAAACTTATAAGAGAATTACTGTAGTTATGTTTAAACAAGGACAGAAAATAGTAAGATGTAAGGTTAACTTTGAAATCTTTCAGAAATGGAGGACACGTTTCATTTTATTGCCTAATATTAGAAGATTATTGGCACCAACGGTTTAGGAATAGAAGGTTGGATGAAAAAGAGTTTATAAATGAATATTGAAAAATAAATAAATTCACCGAGTTACTTGGGACATTTCAAATACACTATAGCGGAGCTAGCCCGACCACGTGTGCTTTATATCCAAGAATTTAGCTTCGAAAAGGAATATTTAATTTATAAGTTGATACAATTTTTAATTGAAAAATTTATTAGAACTGTTTGTATGAAAATTAAGAAGCAACTTACTTTGTCCTTAGTGTCGTTTCGCCGGCTGGACTCTAACCCGATCCAAATAATTCCGGTGAGTTTAACATAGGAATGTACTGTTTATAAGTCATCAGAATTAGGTTGTCGGGTGTTGTAATAAAGACTGTAATAGCAAGGAAATAGCAGGAGAATAACCAAGAAATATACAGGTAGGACGGGGTGTACTTACCAGCGAAAGGAGAATCGTCACCTCGCTAAGCACGTGCTCGAAGTAGGCGACTTCCGATCTCCTGGCTGCCTCCATAATGCACCTGAGTGGGGGCAATTTCAAAACAGCGAAAATTCAAATTCAGTCACATTTAACAGATAAGGAAGGCTGTGTAATGGCGCATTTTTCAAATTTAAATAAAGTATTGAATAAATAATTACCTATTAATATTATGACCTATTATCCCACCTTCAAGAAGGAAAAATCATAAGATTAACTGTTGAGGTCGAAATATAAGAAAACATAAATAATTACCGTAAAAAAACTAAATTCTTTGGCAAATTTTTATGAATTTTAATGTATTGAAAATGAAATGCGTTTGACCAATATAGCGAGGATAGGCTGACCAAAATAATAGGAAACTTTCAGTTAATTAAGGTTTTTAGTTGAAATAAAAAAGTTAGTGTCACGAGCGGGATTCGAACCCACAACCTTCGAACGATGGAGAGTTGGTGTCCGAGAGAATCGAAGTCACGATAGTGGCAGAGCAGCGGTGTATTTAGCCGAGGGTCGTGGGTTCGAATCCCGCTCGTGACACTGACTTTTTTATCTCAACTAAAAACCTTAATTAATTGAAAGATATTAACTGGTCAAGCGGACCACGAAAACTAGTGAATTTAATAAATGGAAACGTCCAAACTACAAATTCATCATATGGCTACCCCAACATCAATTAATTTCCCTTTCAAAAACCTATAAAAGACACTTGTATTTACATAAATCACGTAGACACAACACTGGAGATGGCAAAGAGCCGAAACGCATCTGACAGATCAACACTGGGAGGATAGGCAGAAGAAAATGATCTGCAACGACTAGGTTCATCACTCCGCAGATATAATTCCTCGAATTTTTTTCTATACTTGTCTTATCTCTATAGTTTTTTTATATATAAAATTTTATGAAATTCCGGCCAGGTTGAATTTACCGTAGAGATCTGGACCAAAGACCGTGCTAGTCATCCTCCTATGACAATTTTGAGAGAGGTTGTCCCCGTGAATTGACAACTCCTTTGTTCTTCCCTGGTGCAAAGGAGATTCTTGTGTAGTCGAGTGATGGGGGTGTGAAGGGAGGGGTTTTCATTAAGGAAGTTCCAAGTGAAACAATTACTGCAACCTCAGTGATTGACAAATTCATTTACCGACCTATTCTCCTACCCTCGTACTTAGTGTGTCACAGAACCAGCCCAGCTTTACTTTCAATCAACTTTTACGGTTGGACAACTCGAAAAAAACGCTCTGGAAGGCCTTAAAACTAAAATAAAAAGGTGCCCATATAAAATAAAACAGAAAACAAATGGTTCTTCCTGATATTTTTAAAATAAAAAAATAATTGGTCTATAAAATATTTATTTTATTTCCTACCATCTGCTAAATGTTTTTAATGTCTTAAAGAAAAGCTAATTTGAAATTAACAAAAGGTTAATTTGGAGTTCAAAAGTGTTAATTTGAGGGTAATAGCTCAAAAGGTAAAATGTAAAAGAAATAAAAAGATTTAAATTACTTAAAATATCTGTGCCGTTTATAAATTCATTACGTTCGGGAAAACAGGATTGAACATTACTTGTGAATTTCTGCATATAAAAATTACAAATATTTGGTGTGGTGTTCAGCGACCGTTAGTCAATGATTATTCGTAGATCGTGAGATGCGGTCTGGTGTGATGTAGGTTTCAGAAAAACATTTTCTTTATCGTGCCAACGTTTCAATCTTTATTGAGATCATCTTCAGGGCCTGGGATTTACAAACATTGTTTACATATGTGTAGAGATTAGTGACCGTTAATCGATAGTTATTCAGATATCCCGCATCTCACGATATCTGAATAACTATTGTTTACATATAACAATTACATTTTGGATGTGGAAAAGTGAATTTATACAATGCAAAATATATTTTTTATATATTCAATCAAAGTATTTCTACTCACTCAAAGAGTTTGTCTTCTGTGTAATTGTGCCATTCTTGCGTGTCGTGTCGAGAGTGCCATATAAACACAAAATAATAGCAATAGCAAAATAGCAAAATCTCACTGGAGACACAGAAGACAAACACTTTGAGTGAGTAGAAATACTTTGATTGAATATATAAAAAATATATTTTGCATTGTATAAATTCACTTTTTCACATCCAAAATGTAATTGTTATATGTAAACAATGTTTGTAAATCCCAGGCCCTGAAGATGATCTCAATAAAGATCGAAACTTATGCGGAGATCGAGAGATGCGGTCTGATGTGACGTAGGTTTTAGAAAAACATTTTTTTATACTGGAAAGGTTTAAATTACTCTAAATTCGCTATATTAAATTTGACAATATAAATAATAAAGCGAACAATAAAAACGGTTTGAAAGAAAAAATTGATTTGTTTGACCAAGAAAGAGTTGGAGAAATAAGTTAGTAAATAAGAATATTCGGAGATCGTGAGGTGCGGTCTGGTGTGATGTAGGTTTCAGAAAACATTTGCTTTATCGTGCCAACGTTTCGATCTTTATTGAGATCATCTTCAGGCCCTGGGATTTATAAACGTTGTTTAAATTATACACATACATGTAAGATGTGAAAAAAGTGAATTTATACAATGCTAGAAATTTTAGTCGCAGTCAAAGTAATTGTACTCAATCAAAGTGTTTGTTTTCTGTGTAGATGTGTTATTATTGTGTGTCGTGTTGGGAGAGCCAGTGAGATATTGCTGTTTTATGTTTACATACGTTGGATTTTGAAGGGGTGGGGAAGGAAGTCGGTATAGAAAGAAATTTTTATATGAGGAGTCGGCTTCTTTGAGGTGAAAGGAGCCGACGATTTCAAAAATATTTTTTTGCATTGTATAAATTCACTTTTTTCCCACATCCTGCATGTATTTGTTAAATTTAAACAATGTTTGTAAATCTTAGGCCCTGAAGATGATCTCAATAAAGATCGAAACGTTGGCACGAAAAAAAAAATGTTTTTCTAAAACCTACGTCACACCAGACCGCATTTCTCGATCTCTGAATAATCATTCACTAACGATCGTTAAACACCACACATTAGTAAATAAGTACAAAAAGGTGGAACCTAAAGTGGTTTGGCCGTTTCCGTTTATTCCAGGCCAACACTGAAGATGGTGGGATGCCGACGCCTCTGAAAGACAAAACCATTGAGGACGGCTGACAAGGAAGATCGGAAACATATTATCGCCCCTAAGAAAACAGGGAGAAATCTCATTCCTTTCACTCGAATTACCCCCTCCCCGAGGAAATTTCCTCTTTCCTTTATTAGTACGATTTTATTAATCCTATTGTATTCTCACTTTTTTGTCATAGCTGAAGATGTTCAAAGGTGATTTGTAGTTGCCGGCCAATTTCGGCGTTTCAAGGAAGTGTGCTCTTTGAAATTCAATCCGCGCCTTTTGTGGCGAAAGGTAGTTACGTCTTAAGAATAGTGTTACCTGTCTCGAGCTTATGGCTCGTCGTTTACCTGGAAGTACAAACATGTTTACTTTGAACATGAGCCCGGCACAATGGCGGGGACAAACATTTGTCTGAAAAGTCCTGCTAATCTCCTTGAGTCGTCCCACAATACCACGTATTATTTATGATGACAAGCTTCGCTACCTTTTGAGCAGTTTTTCCCCGCACAAAACCCTGTCAACATGTATAAACACAAATGTAAATAGAATTATGCTACAATGCCCTGGTTTAAGAGGCTGAAGACAGATTGTCGGGGGGCCAAAATTACTTGGAAATAAGGGCCTTGAGTTCGCATTTTATTTTCAACAAACCTCTTTCAATATGTTCTCAATTTCCTATTCATACTGCGTTCCTTTCATTATAATAATAAAATTAGTTCTTTTTTTTTTTAATTTAAGTTATACATTTTTAACCACAAGATAGCTTCTTTCTGTCAAATTAGTATTATTTTTTTTAAATTCAAATTAACCATTTTAAACTTCAAAATCACCCTTTTTAACTTCAAATAAAATGATAATAATTTTTTAAGCTTCAAATTAACATTTTTTTACTTTAAATAGATCCTTTTTTTAACTTTAATCTTTTTAAACTTCAAATTAACCATTTTCAGGTTCAAATTAATCCTTTTTCATTTCAATATAACCATTTTTAATTAAAATTAACTTTTTTTAACTTCAAAATAACCTTTTATGAATTTTGTGGTGATTACTGACCGTTAGTCGAAGATTATTAAGAAATCGTGAGATGTGGTCTGGTGTGATATAGGTTTCAGAAAAACATTTTCTTTATCGTGCCAACGTTTCGATCTTTATTGAGATCATCTTCAGGGCCTGGGATTTACAAACATTGTTAATTAAACAACAAACTCAATGAAGATCGAAACGTTGGCACGATAAAGAAAATGTTTTTCTGAAACCTACATCACACCAGACCGCATCTCACGATTTTCGAATAATCTTTTATGAATTTTTAATGATCCTTTTTAACTTCAAATTAATCTTTTTTTAAATTTTAAATTGACCCTTTTTCACTTCAAATTAAACTTTTGTTACTTCAAATTAACTTCAAGTTACACGATTTAATTTTACATTATCCATGTTTTAAATTTCAAAATAACCATTTCTTTAAACTAATAAAAAAACCTAGATGTTATGAAATATAAACGTGTAAAGTAAATTAATTTTTTTTACCGAGGGTTCGCAACAGCAGAGGTTATATCAACCCTCAGGGTGTCGGTGTTTTTGAAAAAAAAAGCCCATTTGTAACTATGTCGGGTTCGAATACAGGGCCGTTGGATTCGAACCCGGGACCTTCACCTTACAGTCATGAGGGGACGTGTCGACGCCTAAACCGTTGCGGCCAACGACGTCCCCTGTAAAGTAAAATTCCTGCAAATTTGCGATTTTTTAATATGTTTATCTAAACGAATTGCGTTCTGAGAAAACCATATGAACACTAATTGCAAGCAAAATAAGAAATTATAGAAAATTAAATATAAAATAAAAGATTTTTCTTTTCATTGGAGATTCTAGAAAAAAAAATTGCTTCTTATCTAAA